GAACCCTTATTTTGGGGTTAAAAAAAAAGGATTAAGCTTTTAGATTTTGAAGAAACACAGCTGAATGGATACTGTGCTCTGCAATTGAGTTACCCATGCCTAGGGGATTCCTGGCACATTGGCTAGGGTAGCCATAACCCAGATACCACTGTCCGCCTAGCAACAACTGCCCAAATGTGGTCATCATGCCTAAAGGAAAGAGCTTTAAGGGCTAGCATCAGATACCTAAGCTGTCCAGCTTTTTTGGACCCTGAACTTTCTGGCTGATTTACCCTTCTCTGGTGCAGATTGCAGGGTACGTGAGCCAGCCCATGGTGGACGTGTCAATCCTTCAGAGGTCCCTGGCCATCCTGGAGAGCATGGTCTTGAACAGCCAGAGTCTGTACCAGAAGATAGCAGAGGAAATCACCGTGGGCCAGCTCATCTCACACCTCCAGGTGTGAGTAAGAGTCCCTACCCCCTCCCTTCACTTGTCTGTTCTCTTTTCTCCTCTTATTTTGTTTAAGTCTTCCAGTCCTACCTCTGCTTTGCTTATATTCCAAGCTACTGGCCTCTTGTTCATTCATTCATCACCTCTTCCACATTACTGCCAGAATTCCTTTCATAATTGAGACCTGATCATGTCATGCTCCTGCCTAAAATCCTCTGTAACTCCCCTTGCCCCTTCGGCTAAAGTGAAGGTTTTCCCGATCTTCCTATACCACCCTGGTACCAGACAAATTAGATGCTTTCTCCCCTATGGGCCAAATAGTGCTGTCTGTACTACGATAATTATATAAAATACTGTATTTTTATTATCTGTTGCCCATTTTAAACTTTGAATTTCCTGGGAACAGGGACCAACCATTTTTGTATCCCTTGCTTTAAGTAGAAGCTCAATTAGTATTTGCTGAATGAACACTTAACTGAACTAACAATGCACTGTGGAGAATAGTATAATAAGAAGTATTATATAGGGCATGAGTTCAGGATATCAGTTCAAATCCAGGCTCTACCACATACAAGGTCTCTGCCTTTAGCAACTCACCTAGTCTTTTCTGATCTCAATTTCCTCCTCTGTAGATTGGGGTTAATCACCTCACTTCTCAGACTGTGAGGATCAAAGATTAAAAAAACAGTCTAGTAGTAGTAGAGTGGCCAGCACACATTAGATTATTTAATTCAGGATTTTTTTTTTTTTGCTTGTGTTAGTTTTTTAAGAAGCTTATCACATTCTAAAACATTTTACCAGATTAAAAAAAACAGATGACAAATGAACCACTTGGAGTACCATTTCTCTCCTCTCCATTCTTTTTACTTCACTTTCAACTGGTCTATATAATTTAAAGGAACTGGACTTCCCAAAACAAGGGTGGTAATATTGTTGATTCCTTTCTGACTCATGCTCACTTCTGTCATATTGGATATTGCCAGGGTGCTGCCAGAATCCCCTGCCAGTTCCAGGGATTTGAGAGTGGACAGCAGCCCTGTCCTCACAAAACTGTACTCCCACCCTGTTTTTCTCCACTAATCCAAGTAAAAAGAAAGCACAATGATTTCCTTGCAGCTGTAATTTCTTGCTGTCACTTTTAAAGAATTCTTTAGCCACAGCTTTCATATCCAAAGAGCCAACAAGGTTGATTAGAGTGAGAGGGACATGATAAACTCTAGATAGAGTTATGCTTTTCCTGTGACCTCACACCTATCTTTCTGTTGTTCTTTTACAAATTTCTGCACACAGCATTGAACTTCTCTGGTTTTTTTTTTTTTTTTTTTTACTTTTTGTCTCAGAATTGAGAATGACCCCAGTTGCCTTCCTAAGGATGATAGAGGAACATGGCATTTCTTAAGGGTCACTGGTGAATACTTTAAGTCCACAGCTGTCGCCAGAACTTATGTGCTCTGCTGTTTGGGCTGAGGGACACATAGGCCCTCTATTAGACCAGGGGGCACGTATCCTAGGTGCCCCCTGCCTGACCAGGACCTGAAAGCCCATCTGCCCCTCTGGAAAGAGCCACAGAAGGCACCCACGACATGGCAGGTGGGGACATCTTGTCATGTGCCAGGATTATAAGATTCCAGAGAATGATCGTAGTTATTTTGTTTATTTAAAATAAAGTAAGATAAGTTTGTATTCAAAGACCTAGAAAATACAGAAAAGCATGAAAAGTAAATTATTTTCCCATTATGCCCCCTTCAGACATACCCACTGGTAAACATTAAATTGAATGTCCCTCCAGTACAAAATTGGGATCTTACTATACTATGTGTACCATGATTTTTTCAACTGAATAATATCTTGAACATTGTTCTATGTCAAAGATCCTTCTAAAAGGGTAGTTCTAAACCTTTCTTGCATCCCAGATACCTCTGAAAATCCATTAACAGCTACAAACTCTCACCTCTTTGGAAAAAATATCACATAGTTGACTACATAGAATAATTTCTGTACCATTTCTAGAGTTCACAGATCCTCTAAGTCCATCCCTGAATCCCAGGTTAAGAATCTTTACCCTACAACATGATTTTGAATAATTACTAGGATTCTCATATGTATAAACAGAGTTGCTAAGGTGAACATTTGGATCATTTACCATGCTGTCCTTTTTAAATAGTACTTTAGTGAAACACCTAGTCAATAAATCTTGCACAGCATTCTGATTACTGTCTCAGGATACGTTCCTATTAGCAGAATTGCCAGGTCAAGAGCATGCCCACCGTTAATGCTTTTGAGACTCAGCCTCAGATTACGATTTGATTACAGTCTATTAGTGATTGTTTTAAACCATCTTGAAACATTATCTTGCTGTTCAGTCTTCTAATCTCCCTCTGCCTTCTTTCTCCGTTGACACAGCTCCAACCAGGAAATTCAGACCTACGCCATTGCACTGATTAACGCACTTTTTCTGAAGGCTCCTGAAGACAAGCGACAGGTCTGTGGCTGCCTTTACACACTTTTCATCTGGGCTTTTCTAAGAGAATAATGCTGACCCCACCCACTCTTTGCTGTGTAGAAAGCAGAAATCCAGCCATTTTCCCAAGAGTCCTTTCTCTTAGCCCTCTGTGGCCAGAGCCCAGCAGGGCGGCTTTGCTGGGGAAGACTCAGGAGACAACTACTATGTTTCCCCAAAAATAAGACCTACCCATAAAATAAGCCCTAGCAGGATTTCTAAGCATTTGCGTAATATAAGCCCTACCCTGAAAAAAAGACCAAGTGATGGGCGTGGCTACACAGTGTATCTGTACAACCCATGCATTTTGACGCAAAGCAGTAAAGAAAACGAGCAGTCTTTCTCATCTGCCTCATCGTGACAGCTACTATCCAGAGCTGAACAGAAAGGTGCGGGCAGCCCCACCAACAAGGTTGGCTCCCCCTGTCAGGTCTCGGCCATCCTGTGCGTGCTGCAAGCTGAGGCTTTGAGGGGAAAATAACACATCCCTGAAAATAAGCCCTAGGGTGTCTTCTTGAGGAAAAATAAATATAAGACCCTGTTTTATTTTCGGGGAAACATGGTAGGTGGGGAAACCAGTCGGGTCTTAGGTCAGAGCAGGAGCCTTCAAACTCTTTCCTCTAAAGGGCCAAAGAGTAAATATTCTCTACTTCATGGGCCACATGGTTCATGTGGCAGCTACTCAACCTTGCTGTTGTAGCAGAAGCAGCCTCAGACGATAGGTGAATGAACGAGTATGGCTGTCTCCCAATAAAACCTTATTTACACAAACAGGCAACAAGCCTAATAAGGCCACAGTTTGCTGACTCCTGTGTTAGAGGATCACGAATAAGGAAGAGGAGACCCTGTGGGTACCACTGAGTCCAAGGGGTCCAAAATGAATGGGACTTCGCACTGAGTTTCATAAAGGTCCTCTGTTCCAGATTCTAAACATCCTTCTTCCCCTCTCTGTTAGCTGTATAACATGCAGAGAGCTCTGCCTTTTTGAACCTCAGTTTCCTTACCTATAATGTGGGAACAACATCTGCCCCATTTACCTCACAAGAATGTCATGAGAAAAAGCAAGACCCCTATTTTACCCAGGAGGAAATGGAATCATCTGGGTGGTGGAACAAGCATTGACCTAAGATTTGAGGGGCCTGGGACTAAGTACTTCCCCTGTTGCTGGCTGGACTGGTCGTTTTAACCTCTGGGGGTCTCAGTTTCTCTTTCGGTAAAGTGAAAGGGCTAGATTAAATGATCTCTGAGGACCCTTCCAACACTAACATCCTAGATTTCTCTGAGAAAAACCTTAATGGTTGGGGGGAGGGGGGGAAAGGACATTTATTGAAACCTTAAAATCTGTACCCCCATCATATGCCGAAATAAAAAAAAATAAAAAAAAAATTAAAAAACAAAACAAAACAAAAAAAACCTTAATTGTGTGTACAAAAGTAAGACTTAATTCTGTGTCGATATCATGGGCTCAGTAAGATGACATCCAAGTGGGATCATTTACGGAGCTCTTGGTAGATTTTAGAGGGAAGACCAGGAGCATCTGTGGTTCTGTCTGTCCTTGTCTTTCTGGATGGCTTGGCTCTGTTAATGTCTTCCTTCCCAGTCCTTGTTTGAATGTAAGCTGAAAGCTCATTCCGTCTGCTTCTCTCTGTGCTTTTTGCTTCCTGCCGGCAGGACAAGCACCTTAATCCTCTAGACCTGCCTGTCACTGTAAGTAGCACCACTGTGTGGAGAGGGCCCCGGGCCTTCCAGGTGGGGAGGTCAAAGCTGGGCCAGACTCTCACGGTCTGATCTAGATGTTCAGGGCACGTCAAGACCCAGGGAAAGGTCATGTGTTGTGAATCTCCTTTGTCAGGACTCTTACGGAAGTACTGCAGATTAGAGTCACAAAAAGGATTAAGGGGTAGCTGTCCCGGGGCGTGTGGCCCAAGCTTTCCTTTGTAATTTTCCTTTGCATGGGTCTGTGGTTCAACTAGGGAAGATCAGATTCAGAAACTGCTTGTGACTTTCATCTAGACAATACCACAGATGCGTCGCCATCCAACTTGCCTTAGCAAAAGAGTAAAGGTAAATCCGTGCCTTTTTTGGACTCTTACTAGACTGTAGGACTCTGACAAGGTTAGACAGTTGACAAAAGGGAGTTTGGATGCTCATTTCTTGGTTAGAGGGAGCTTTGGAGAGGTCAGCTTTGCGAGGATGTGAAAGAGGATAAGTGCCTGCCCCCAGCACCACGGAGAAGCTTTTGGTCTAAGACTTTTATATTTGAGCTGTAGACCACTGTCAATTACTCACTTTGTGAGTTGTCCACAGCAAGATTTAATCTCAACCGACCACCTATAGCTACCAGAGAAGTTTCTAGGCCACCTTCCTCCTCTGCCAGCTAGTGTGTGCCCAGGGAATGCAAAATAAAACTTAATGTTCCTGGCAGTGTCAGCCATTTGGAATATAGCTAGAAATCTGGAAGTGAGAGAGAAAGACCTTTTAGCTCCGAGAAAAATGACAGAGCTCATGGATATTACTCCATAGGAGAGGTGTGACAGCTCCCTTAGGCCCATTGATTTAGAATTATCTATAAAATTAAATGAAGGCAGCAGTTTAGAAAGTGAAGTCATACTAATTAACATTAGTAAGAAGTGATGGCTGACATTGGAAGGAGGAGACAGAAGAATTATGAAAAGCTGTCAGAAAAATTAAAAGCATTGTAATCTGGGACCATTTTGTTTAGGGGAAAATAGCTTCACATTTCAATAGCTCCTCAGGGTATTACAGCGTCACAGCACAGAATAATAACTGATGTTCTTTCCGATGAAGCCAAGTCCTTGGCAGTGATTAAATTATAATCTTTGTAGTTGCTTCAGAAATAAAGAAGTGTATATAATATATTTTTAAAATTTACATAAGAATGGTCAAAATAATGGTTCTGAGAGAACCCTTAAAGCTTTGCTCCCTGGAAGATTCATTTATGTAGGATACTTTATTTCCTGGATCTGCTAAATAAATAAAGCATTACTGTCAAAGTCTGAATCAAATAGAATTAAAAAGGTGAATCTATTATGAAAAATTACCCCAAAGCACCCAGCACATTGCTTTCCCTCAGCCAGGCAGAAGTGAAGCACGTACTAACCTAGAGCGTCCGTGCCCCAGCTCATCCACGGGGTGCTGGGGGAAGAGCTGGGGCCAGTGCTTCATTAGAGCCCCTTCCAGCCCTGGTGGCGGGGTCTGTGTAGAACAATGCATGTGGCTTGGAATCCATCACACTGCTCTGTGCTCCACGTGCAATGTCCATTGCCGGCATCCTTGTGACGCAAGTGTCTCTTCCTCAAGCAGTCCACATCTGTCTTTGAAGATGATGCGGTCAATTATGCCATTAAGAAGGGAAAGCCTACTTGAACTAATTTGCACTCAGAAAAGTGAAGAAATTTTTCAGAGTGTAAAATACAACTGATGGTAGATTTTCTTTCATTTACCCACTTTTCATTTGAAAGGAAAAGAATTTAAGAAAGAGAAAAGGCCCCAGAGGTATGATATCACCATCTTCTTGATAGTTGTTACGGGTATGCACCTGCCAGCTTCCCTTATATGTACCTATTTTTCTCCATAGGATATGGCCAATGCATTTGCACAGAAGCACCTTCGGTCTATAATCCTGAATGTAAGTTCCCGGGACACACTGTATTTTGTTACTATTTTGTTGCTGTTAATAGCAATTATTACTATTATTATAGTTATTTTATTATTATTATTAAATTACTTTTATGCTGAGGGCACACAGAGAGAACTTAGCAGTAGGTACCAAACACTTCTTAAGCTGGAAAGCTTTTTCTTGTGATCCCTCTGTGAGCAGAATTGTCTCTAGGAAGTCATCCCACCAGGAACTGCAGTGCCTCCAGGGAGGGACAAGGTCAGTTATACTGCTTGTTGCCCTGCTGCTCCAAAATTTTTATCCAGTGAAAATATGTCAAAATCGGCACAAAAGATGAAAGTAATTTAGCTAATACTGATCATAAATCTGAACTGTGTAGGGTACTGACAGAGATAAATACAGACAGTGTGTTTGCTCTCAAAGACCTTCTGGTCAAGCAGGAAGGACTAGCGATCATAGCACAGTGCGGGCAGTGGTTGTGGTCTGGGAGCAGGGAGCCCTGCCTTGACAGAGAAGGCGTCAGGAAACCTCTGGAGGAATATCTTCAGGTGAGCTGCGCAGGGTAAGCAGGCTTACCGGGAAGAACAGGGATTCCAGGCAGAGGGTGGCTGGAACCTAGGAGTGTGTGATTGGACACAGGGTGGGGCAAGGAGCAGATCTGTGATGAGGCTGGAGAGGTAGAAAACACTGAATCAAGTAAGGCCTTAGTCTAACTCCTAAGGACAACTGAGGGGGTTTAATTAGGATGGTGAAATAACCAGATTTGCACTTGAGAAAGAGCACTCTGAGGGGTGTCTGAGGTGGGGAGAGTAGAGTAGGAGTTGGTGGTAGTGGTGGAGGGTTCTGGAAGGAGGTCTAATTCCCTGTCACCCGGTGGTGATACGGGGTGGAAGAGGGCTGAGGTGGAGCTGGGGAAGAGAGACAAGGATCTAGATTAAAAGGAAGCGATTTTATCAGTTGTTAAAAATGGGAAAACTGGGAGACCACAGTGAAGGGAATAAAATGAGAATCTAGAAGTCAAGTGTAAAAGACTTGATACTGAACGTGGACTTTAGAGTCAGCGAGCCTCCCTGCACTGTCATTTTCCAATCTTTGATCTTGATCAGTTCACTAAACTCCTCTGGGCTTCAATTTGCTCATTTGGATGTGAGGAATAAACGAACTGATGTATATAGAGTGCTCAGCAGGGTGTCTGGCACTTCAGTAAGCACTCTCCTTGTATTGGCAGAACAGGATGCCAAGGTGTTAAATTGAAGAAGTAAGCTCTGAGCACTTGGGAGGTTGAGCAGTCAGCTATGCTCTAAACACACAAGAGTCCACAGACTTCCCCGTGCAGAACTCCTCTCTGCTGGCTGCTTCACCGGTTACATCTGGCTACCAGCCTGGCAGGAGGGGCCCCGAGCAAATGCTAGAACATTGCCTACAAGTAGGGAGGGGAGTACCCAGGTTCCCACGCATGCTATCCACACTCCTGAGCAGCTGTCCCAGGCACTCTCCTCTACACGTGTGGGGGTGAGGGTGCCCTTCTGAGGGAAATTTAATTATGTTTGAGACTTATTATTGACTTAGTGGGGTTAGAAGTTCAACTTAATTTCTGGACAAACCTTGTGAACAAATAAAGATTCCACATAGAAGGTAATTCAGCATCAGGACTCAGGACTTAAATGGTCTGGGAGGAAATGGTGGACGCATGGTCACTGAAGTCCAGGGATTTCACTGAGCCAAGTCAGAGAGCGTAGGCCCCGAGATGCTTGACCTCCAAGTATGACTACATGTAAAAACCCTGAAACTGACGCATCAGACTGGAGCTGTACTTCTTTAAGCCACTGATGGCTATAGTAATTAATGACCTTCCTGCTATGATGTTTCTTAAGTTTGGAAAGGAGATAAAAGTGAACAAAAACCAAGATCACATCAGCTTCTGCTTCTGTGCAAAGCTATTTATAAATTATGCAGGGCAATGAGGAGGAAAGAATAGGGATAGACAGGTAGGGAGAAATCAGGGTGGTGGAGAGAGGGAGCAGGAGAGAAGAAAGGCTCAGAGTGAGGCAGAAGGAAGGGTGTGGAGGGGAAGCAGTGACAAGGAAGAGACCTTGTGCCAGGAGAGAGACAGGGGTGGGTGGGGGGAGATGGAGGGAAGGGAAAGTTCAGGGGAGGCAGGCGCAGAGCAGAGAGCAAGAAAAGAAACTTGGGGAGTTGAGAGGAACCCTGAAACTGAGCAAGGTTGACAGATCTCATGCTTGAGAGACAAGCAGGAGCTGGAGGGCTGGGCACAGTCACCAGCTCAGAGGGAGGGGTGCTGGCTTGAGTGCATTAGCACACGCTGCACTCGAGTTTGGACACACTGCTCTCTGCCCCAAATGGTAGCCATTAGCCATGTGTGGCTCTTGAGCACTTGAAATGAGTCTAGTGTGGCTGGGGAACTGAATTTGTGATTTAATTTCAGTTTAAATTTAAATACACATATGTGGCTTTTGACTACTGTATTGGGCAGTACAGATCTAGAGAAAGAAAGAGACAGAGAAGGGAGAGCTCTGGAGTCATACAACTGGCAAAGAGATCTAGAATAGGGCTGAACAGTGGAAATATAATGCAAGCCCTTTGCATGATTTTTTTTTTTTTTTTTTTTTTTTTGAGACAGTCTCGCTTTGTTGTCCAGGCTAGAGTGAGTGCCGTGGCGTCAGCCTAGCTCACAGCAACCTCACACTCCTGGGCTCCAGCGATCCTTCTGCCTCAGCCTCCCGAGTAGCTGGGACTACAGGCATGCGCCACCATGCCCGGCTAATTTTTTATATACATATCAGTTGGCCAATTAATTTCTTTCTATTTATAGTAGAGACGGGGTCTCGCTCTTGCTCAGGCTGGTTTTGAACTCCTGACCTTGAGCAATCCGCCCACCTCGGCCTCCCAGAGAGCTAGGATTACAGGCGTGAGCCACCACGCCCGGCCCCTTTGCATGATTTTAAACTCTCTAGTAGCAGCATTAAAAAAATCAAGTTCAATAATATATTTTATTTAACCCAAAATATCCAAAACATTATCATTTCAATATGTAATAATATAAAACATTATTAATGATATATTCAGATTTTCTTTTTTCATACTAAGGCTTCAAGATCCAGTGTGCATTTATGCTCAAAGCACATCTCAGTTTGGACTAACCACATTTCACGGGCCTAGTGGCTACCAAACTGGATTGCGTGGGTCTAAAGAGATTGATCCAGAGCCAGAGGAAGCTCTAGAGTGAGCTGATCTAAAGTTAGAGGAAGCTTTTAAAAAATAGTCTTCTAGAGTTAGCTCTAGAGCAGTGCTATTTGGTAGAACTTTGGGTGCTAATAGAAATGTTCTGTCTCTGCACTATGCAGTGCAGTAGCCACTAGCCACATGTGACTCTTTAGTGCTTAAAATGTGGCTGATGAGTCAGGAAGTAGTATAATCTTGTGAAAAAAAATGTGGCGGATGTGACTGAGGTACCAAATTTTTAACTTTAATTAGTTTTAACTGGTTGAAATGCAAATAACTACATCTGGCTAGTAGCTACCATACTGGACAGCACAGCTCTAGAGACAGAGCTACTGAGTAAGAGAACGTGAAGGACACAAAGGTGGTACATGTGGGAAACTAGGCAGGGGTCTAACTTGGGCAAGAAGGAACCAAGAGTGGCAGGATTCATGATGGTGGGTGAGACAGCGCGGGCGAGAAGTACAAGAGAGCAAGAAGGAAAGCAGGATGTGGTGGGAGTGAGAACAGGACAGCGAGAGACAAGAGCATAACCAAGTGTTGACCAACCAGGACAGATGGAAGATGAGAGAGAATGAGGGGGCCGAAGTAGGGGTGGGCATCAGAGGACAAAAGGGGAGGTGATGAACCGACAGGGGAAGGTAGGGGCACAGAGAATGGGGAGAACAGAGTCAGAGGAGGGAGAGGGACATATGGTGTAGGGGACACAGGGGTTAGGGAGAAGGGAGGGATGGGTGTCGGAGAGGAGTGGGGAAGAGGGCGGTGAGAGGGGAAGAGGGCGGTGTGAGGGGCCGGGTGGGAGAGTTAGATGTTTCTCCTTTGTGTAGGTGTCTCAGTATCATTTAAAGAAAATGACCTTTTCTAAAGCCCCTCCACAGGGCGAAGCCATCCAAAATATTTTATTTTTCTAAGGGAAAAACGACTTTCCCTCCACACACACTACCCATCGTCTTGGGTTTAGCAGTCCTGTGGGGTGGCTGATTGGAGTAGGGCCCAGCTGCCGATGTTCCCTGCCACAGCCTTGGCGGAGTGGCCGGTGCAGCCCTGCTCTTCACCCCACTTCCCCTGCCCAGGGGAGCGCAGAGGAGGGTTGGTGCCATTCAGGCATGCAGTGAATCATCTGCCTGAACCAAGCCTGTTCATGCTTCATCCCTTCTAGAACATGAAGTCCCCTTGTGTGGGAGGAGAGCTCTGTTCCCTGCCTGGCACACTTCCTTTTTCACTAGCACTGATGTTGCTCTTAAGCCAAAGGGACAGTCAGTTCAGTTCCCTGCTCTCTGCCTTTGCTTTTTCTAGCATGTGATCCGAGGGAACCGCCCAATCAAAACTGAGATGGCCCATCAGCTGTATGTCCTTCAAGTCCTGACCTTTAACCTTCTAGAAGAAAGGATGATGACCAAGATGGACCCCAATGACCAGGTAGGTGCTAAGTGGGGCAGAGCTTTCCTGGCTAACATTGTGTGCTATTTTCTCCTGGCTGTGGTATAGTCCCCCTTAGACTACGTGCCAGGCACTGTGCTTGGTCTTTGCAGAAGTGGTTGTATCTGCCCTGGAAAATCTAGCATGATTTGTACCTGTGGAGTGACTCTATATGGGCCAAGGCCATTTCTGTCCTGCTATGGTAGAGGTGATGCCTCCTAAGGTATTGATTGGGCCAGAAAAGCCTGACCTACTGTTCTTTTCCTTTCTTCCCTTAGCTAGCTAATTCACCTGCTGACTGTTTGTTTCACCTTTCAGGCTCAAAGAGACATTATATTTGAACTGAGGAGGATTGCATTTGATGCAGAGTCAGACCCTAGCAATGTCCCTGGGAGTGGGACCGAAAAACGCAAAGCCATGTATACAAAGGACTACAAAATGCTGGGATTTACTGTAAGTACCCCAAAGTGTAGATGGTGGTAGGCCTTCCCCCTGACGGGAAGTCAGAGGGCCGACCCAGATGGAGCCCTGGCAGCCCTTCCTTCTTAATGGTGGCCCTGGAATAGATGGCAGTAAGAAGCTTGAGTGGCCCCAATGCTTGGTTTGCTTTGGTGGTGGCGGGTTTGCGAGTTTATGTGCAGCCTTTGGCCCCATGAAACAAATCCATCTGTAGGAGGGCTAGTGAGGTCAGCTGAGGTGGGTAGAGAGGGGACCTGTTCTCTCACCAAAACAGCTAGGTTCTTTGCAAAGCTACCGTGAATATTTTGTGATGGAGCATGGCTTGTAGATGGGGTTAATTTGGTAAAGTATTTATTGCACACCTCCTCAGTGCCCAGCTGCATGGTAGGCACTAGGATACGCCATGAGCAGCCATGATCCAGTGCTCCGGGGGCTCACAGTCCAGTAGTAGAAATAGGCGTGTGGAAAGAGCTGGGACGGAGGTGGGCACCACATGCTGTGGCTTAAAGAGTAAGGATGAGAGGGCCCCCCCTCATGTCACATCGCACACGGGGATACTACTCAGTCTCAAACTGTGTTTCTCCAGAACCATATCAACCCAGCCATGGACTTCACCCAAACTCCTCCAGGAATGCTGGCCTTGGACAACATGCTGTACTTGGCTAAATTCCACCAGGACACCTACATCCGGGTAAGGGCGGGGGGCTGGCCTTCTCAGTCCTGGTGCCACGTCCCTTGGTTTCCTCCCTCATCTCCCAGATCCTTCCTTTCCTCTTCTCTCCACAGATCGTCTTGGAGAACAGCAGCCGGGAAGACAAACACGAATGCCCCTTTGGCCGCAGTGCCATCGAGCTCACCAAGATGCTTTGTGAAATCCTGCAGGTTGGGGAACTACGTAAGTCTCTGCACTCCCTCTCCTCCTAGTGACACTCGAGATTATAAACAGCCAGTTGTCAGTGGGACTGGACAACCTTGTGTGGGGTTTTTTGGCTTTTTTGAAAAATCACTGCATAAACTGATAATTCACCTTTTTATTTTGTTTTATTTTTGTTAGTTTTGTTTTAAGAGGCAGGGTCTTGCTCTGTGGCCCAGGCTGGAGTGCAGTGGCCTTATCATAGCTCACTGCAGCCTTGAACTCTTGGGCTCAAGCAATCCTCCTGCCTTGGCCTCCCAAAGTGCTAGAATTACAGGAGTGAGCATGGCCCTGATAATTCATCTTATCCTTGTTTATAGGAATCATGGCTGTTGCTTTGAGCTGGCAACTTGAGCTATGTTCAGAAGCTTCCCCACATCTGTGGATAAGGGCTTGCTGAGTCTGTAACAGAGTAGAGAGGGACCAAGAAAAAGCACCCTGGAGAAGAAGGCTAAGGAAGTGGGAGAAAGGCCTAACCCACATTCCTTTTTGCCACAGTCCTTGGTCTGCTTTTGTTCCTCAGCACTGTGGTGCAGAGAATCCAGTTTCTGGACACGAGCTCCCAGGCCCCCGCAGGCAGAGGCTTCACCCTTTCCCTGTTTACTTCCACAGCAAACGAAGGACGCAACGACTACCACCCGATGTTCTTTACCCATGACCGAGCATTTGAAGAGCTCTTTGGAATCTGCATCCAGCTGTTGAACAAGACCTGGAAGGAGATGAGGGCAACAGCAGAGGACTTCAACAAGGTCAGTGTCACTGAGCTGCTCTGAGGCCTGTGGAAGGAGACTGTCACACAGCAGTCTCTTGACAGCTGGCCAGCGCCTAGAGAATCCCTGAGCTGGAAAAGCAGCTCGGTCTGCAGTGCTGAGTCACAGGACTGAGGCATTGGAGAGCTCAGTCCCATCTGGTTGTTACTCCCTTGTAACCTTGAGCAGGTGTCCTTTCCTTTGTACCCTAGGCCCTCATTTGCCCACTGAAGCCAGCACCTGCCCCTCCTGTCCTCCTTAGGGGAAGGAGGGAGCATAGCGAGAGTAGCTGTGGTTGATCGAGCGCTCCCTGTGTGCAGGCGCTGCCGTAGTTCTGCGAACAGGGAATGTTAGGGGGTGGCAGTGGACTGGCAGGGTGTGCACATCATGGGTGCCTAATCGACAGTCGTCCCTCTGTGCTTGCTGAGTACCCAGTCTATGTGGAGCACCGCACCAGGCCCGCAGAAGCTGATAATCTAGGGGTTGAGTGTTTTGAAGTTGATCATCTCATCATAAAAAATTTGGAAAGTATAAAGAAGAAAAAGTCACCTATAATTCCACCACCCAATGACAATCATTTTTGTATCTTCCTCTAGTCGTTTTTCCCTCTGGATTTTTCCTACATTAGTGAGATCATACTGCACATGCAATGTGGTATCCTTTTTTTTTTTTTTAACAGTTATTGTTTTTGGGGAGCTAACACTTTTTAAACACACCACAGTGTGCCGAGCACTGTGCTTGCCTTCTTTGCAGCATCTCATATTCTTTATGGCAGCACATATCAGAGATGTGTCTTTCTTTCTCTCACTTTAAAGATAAACAGATAGAGGCCTGAGGATATTAAGTGATTTGCTCAAGGAACAGATTAAGGGACAGAGTGAAGATCTGAACCCATTTCTCTCTGACTCCAAAAACCCAGGCTCATTTCCCCACACTGTTGACTAATTGAAATATATGAGAAATAAGGCAAATGTCATTGTCAGTCATTTGATCTGAATAACCACCTGAGAAGGTGTACCTTATCCACCCAGCAGGTGTCCGTGGTGCCTGTCTGCTTAAGACACTGGGGTAGGAGAGAGCTTGGTGCTCCAGAATTGACCTGTCCATTGATCAGAAAAATGGTGTGAGTTGGTTGCCTTTTTTTCCTCTTAGGTTATGCAAGTAGTCCGAGAGCAAATCACCCGAGCTTTGCCCTCCAAACCCAACTCTTTGGATCAGTTCAAGAGCAAACTGCGTAGCCTGAGCTACTCTGAGATTCTGCGACTGCGACAGTCAGAGAGGATGAGTCAGGATGACTTCCAGTCCCCGCCAATTGTGTAAGTCCATCCCAGAGGCAGCCACCAGTTCTGCCTCCCTTGCAGAGTGCCACTGTCCCCATGACCTCCTCTCACCCCGGTGCGTGTGCACTCCAGGGAGCTGAGGGAGAAGATCCAGCCTGAGATCCTCGAGCTGATCAAGCAGCAGCGCCTGAACCGGCTCTGTGAGGGTAGCAGCTTCCGGAAAATTGGGAACCGCCGGAGGCAAGGTGAGAGGAGGTGTGGGGCGGAGGCTGGTCCTGACTGACCACACTTCCTAGTGCCCAGAGGAGCTGCCTGGGTGGCCCTGCAGGGAGCAAGCAGGCCACAGGTGGCCCTTTTGCCCTTTGTGTGCCCTGACCTTTGCCAGTACTGTCCCTGCTCACCTGCTTGGCCTCCCTTGTGTTCCAGAGCGGTTCTGGTATTGCCGCTTGGCACTGAACCACAAGGTCCTGCACTACGGTGACTTGGATGACAACCCTCAAGGGGAGGTGACATTTGAATCCCTTCAGGAGAAAAGTAGGTTCATTTCTCTGCTGATGTGTCATGGTGCCTGGGTCATCTGGAGACCTGGTTCTGGCCCTGCTGTTTCAAACTGATTATCTGGGCTTGTGCTCGTTATCTCTCTGGACCTGTTTCCTTATCTGCCAGAGATCATCTCTTCCTGGCCTGCCTCACAGGGTTGCTGGGAGAATTAATGAGATCACAGCTGTGAGTGTGGTGTGTAGATCATAAGGGGTGGTTCGAGACCAAGTTGAAAGGCAGCAGTTAAGAGCAGAAGCTCTGAAGCCAGACTGGCCGAATTCAAATCCTGACTTTGCCCCAAATTAGTTGTGAATTCTAATTAATTGCGAGATAGTTCTCCCTTCTGCCTTGGTTTCTTCTTCTATAAAAAGGGGATGATGGCCCCACTTCCCTCCTCCTGAGAGGATTGTATGACTGGCATGTTGTGGCTGGCAGGTAGTAAGCATAACTGTCAGCAGCGGCTACTGCTGTTTGCTATAGTGGCATTTTCATCTCCATTATTGTGAAGGGGAAGTGAGATGAGTGTACAAGGCCCCATTCCTTGGGGAGATAAAGTCAAGAGCCCTGAAGTGACCCCCAGTTAGCTTTGACACAGCCTCACCAGGCCATGGTCTACAGGAAGTGACTAGGGAGGAGGGAACAAGTCCAGAGCCACCTTAGACCCTCACCCTGCCTGAGCTGATACAGCCCTTTGAGGCTGTGGGCCCAGGGCCTCCTTCCAGCACTGCCGCAAGCACTGACCAACTTGGGCATGGGCTTCCAGAGACTAATGTCCATCATTTATCAGTTCCTGTTGCAGACATTAAGGCCATTGTCACTGGGAAAGATTGTCCCCACATGAAGGAGAAAAGTGCTCTGAAACAGAACAAGGTAAGTGGAGAGGAGAGTTTGAGTGGCTGCCATAGTGATACCTACAGAGTACATACAATTGGTGCTGGGCTTTTTCAGTGCATGCTTGGTCTCTTTCCCTCTCTTTAAATTATTCCTGAATGTTTTATTAAGAATCTTAAACATACACAGAAATAGATAGAACCCCTGTGTACGCATCACCTACCCTCAGCAACTATGGCAACGTCTGCTTATCTACTCATTCCTCTCCCTATTACTTAGAAGAAAATCCCAAGTGTCGTATCGTAAATATTTAGTGTATATCTCTAAAATATAGGGACTCTTTAACATAATCACAATACCACCATCATGCTTAACAGGAAATAAAAAGTAGTTATTTTAATATTAACTATGACATTGAATTTCTACCAATTGCCTTATAAATATCTATATAAAAATATATAAACATTTATATGTATATACACACACAATCATACCTATCTTGTTTAAACCAGAATCCAAATAAGGTCTACACATTGTGATTAGCCTTTTAAAATACTTAATTCATAAGTTCCCCTCCAACTTTTCCACCTTTTTTTTCTTTGCAGTTTATTAGTTGAAGAAACCAGGTTGCTTGTTTGGTAGTTTCCCAGCGTCTGAATTTTGCTGATTGTCTCCCTGTGGTGTAGTTTAACTTGTTCCTCTGTCCTAGATCTATAAATTGGCAGAGAGATTTGATCCAGTTCAGCTTTGACATCTTTTTGGCAAGACTGTGTCGTAGATGGTGTTATGTTCTATCAAGGGGCACATAACATCTAGCTGGCTCTCTTCTTATGATGTTAGCAGACCGTTGATGCTCAATGCCTCATTCCATTAGTAAACTGAGGTTTGCAAACTAGTGATATTTTAATGTAGACATTCCTTTTCGTTTGTTAGCTGAAGAGAAACTTGCCCTTATCTACTGCTGGTTTCCCAGTGGTACAGTTAATATAAGAAAAGAGGATAAATGCTGATTTTTCCTTTATGTACATACCTTCAAACCAATGGGTTAGTTTCCCAGTATCATTCAGTATGACCAATTTTGTATTTGTTTTGTTTTTTATTTTTATGAACTCAAGGGTTTAAGCAAATTATGTTTGTTTCAGTCCATTAGAGTCACATATTTTGTTGATGCTCAAATTGTCCCATCTTTGTCTGCAATTTTTGTTGTGTTTTTTTAAACTGTTAAGACATTCCTATGCCAATTACAGCTTGATAAAAAGAAGAATCAGTCATCTTGGTAACATAAAATAAAAACTTCTGGGATAACTTACCATGATGAACTCAGACATTCAAGGGTTCTGAGTGTTGAAAACGATCTTTTTCCCCATCTTGAAAGTATCACCACATCTTAGGTGTGACTTGGGTGAGGAGTAGGTAAGTTAAGGTTGTTTATTGCAGGGCCTTGTCTCCAGCCATACTTGTGTGCATGCCTAGGGGCCTGGATGACATCATATCTCAATCACATTTGATAATGATGCCAAGCTACCAGGACTTTGGCCAGGATCTTGGTGTGCAGAGCCCAGGTTGTTCACTGCTCTAAGTAACTGAAACCCTTTCTCCTTCAGGAAGTGCTAGAATTGGCCTTCTCTATCCTGTATGACCCTGATGAGACCTTAAACTTCATTGCACCGAATAAGTATGAGGTGAGCACTATGGCACAGCCTCAGACGGCAGAGTGACTCTCCACCTGGAGGGGAGGTGTGGGCAGAACAGGAATGTCCCAGTCAAGGCAGGTGACCACAGGATATCATGAAGCCTGTGGGATACTGAGGATCTGCCACGTGATGGGCCCTTCAGCCCTGAGCTGGGCTCTCCACACTACTCTTCCAGCAGCAGCCATAGGTTGTCATTAGAAAGACATGGTCCACTAGGGATGACTCATTTGCTTGGGATAAGGAAAATTCTCTCCTTTGCATTTTCTCTGTGGCTACCTACCCCAATTGAACTTGACATATCTTCCTTCCTTGGGGCTCCTGGTCACATGTTATAGTTTATCCAGGCTGGGTTTTGAAGCCAGATGGATCCGGTTCTTCTGACAAGGTGCTTACAGGTCCCTGTGTAGCCCTGGAAGATACTAAATATTAACTGAGTACCTGTAGTTGAGACCCTGTGTGCCCAGTGAGCTCTGAGAGCCATCAGTGGGAACTGGAGGTGGGGCTTCTGGAAGAGAAGACACTTGGGCGGGGCCTGAGCTAGTGGAGTTGCTAGTGGAGTTTTGTTGGAGGAAATGAAGAACAAGCAGGAGGGGAACCAGGTGAGCATAGTCTTGGAACAAAGAAAACAGCAGCAGAGGGTACAGGACTTAGGGACGATGGGTTGAGAACAATTCTCTGTTGTTCCCTCTTAGCACGAGACCCTCCCCATCAGTTTCTTTAGTACTTAGCTTTTAACATTAATTGACTGGGTTTTTTTAAATTTACTGTTTTTTTTTTTTTTTTGAAACAAAAGTGAGATCTCACAGGGATTCTGATTTGTGTCCTGCTTTTTTCACCTAATATATTTATTTCCCCCCTCCCATTTCTAGTTTTGAGGGCAACCTCAGGTGGTTGATACCCCAGTACCCAGATCTCATTTTGCTCTATCATTAATTGCATTTTAGGTCATATTTCTTATTAAGAAATTTTAACGTAACCCCCCTCATAAAAACCAGATCTCTTGAAAAAGCGAATGATCACCTCCTAATTTGTCTTTGTTATTACTCCACATCAATTTTGCCTATACTGAATAGTTCCAAAAGGGACTGTTGGGAGTCCCACCAGAAAGGAGACCTTGTGCATAAAATCTATGCATTTAATATATATATAAATTATACCTTGGTAAACTTGATAAATAAAATGGAATCTGGATTTTAAAAAAAAGAGGGAATTTGGCAGGATCTCCTGATCAGGAGCCACCATGTGACATTTTGCAACTTGGTCCCCACAGTACTGCATCTGGATTGACGGCCTCAGTGCCCTTCTGGGGAAGGACATGTCCAGCGAGCTGACCAAGAGTGACCTGGACACCCTGCTGAGCATGGAGATGAAGCTGCGGCTCCTGGACCTGGAGAACATCCAGATTCCTGAAGCCCCACCGCCAGTCCCCAAGGAGCCCAGTAGCTATGACTTTGTCTATCACTATGGCTGAGCCTGGAACCAGAGACACTGGTACCCAGAAGAAGGGATTTGGGGCCCAGGAGAAACACTCACAGTCTGGTGCCTTGTCTTTTGCTTGTATAAAATCCGTAGTGATTGTGGTGGCCAGTAAATGCCAGCCATTCCTCAAACCCACCTTGGACCACCCAGAGTTTCCTCTTGGTCCCTGTCCACTAAGAGTCATGAAGGCAGGGTGCTCTGCCCTCCCCATCACCGTCAAGCCTGGGATTGGGCCACGAGGAATGAACAGCAGATGCCCTTGCCTTCCAGCCCAAGAAACTGCTTCTTGAAATGGACTTAACAACAGCCAATTACCTTTTCTTCCTAAGCCTGCTCTCTGGTTAGCTGGATTCCCATGTGAGCAAGTGCTGGCCCAGGAAAGGCTACCTGCAGAGGACACATGTGCTGGGCCTGTTGAGAGGCTTGGAGTGACTGACTTGACTGACATAGGATGACATGCCTATGTCTCAGATCTAAGTACAGGCCTTGGGCCTTGGCATAGTGGATACCTTGGGCTTTTGCTTTTGTCTTGTTGATGACAGCTCACTCCAGTCTCATATGGTGCCAGGATGCTGCTGCTACTGAGGTTTGGCTCTAACATCTCTAGTTTCTAGAGCCACCATATCTCTTGCCCTTGCAGATATCAGGGCAGATGGAAATTTCTCCCTACAAGCTCTCAGTCTCTGCTTGACAAGTCAAGGACCTCCAGGCTGAGTCCTGCCCTGTTAGTCTCCAGGAGTGCTGCAGGGAAAGCCCAGCTGAGGCCTGGGCCTAGACTGTGGTAAGGTCACTAGATTCTACTCCCTTCCCCCAACATTTCTATCTTTTCCTTCCTCGGGGAGAAATCTCCCACCTAACCCTCCAGTTTGCTTTCCTTTGGCCTTCCATACCCCAGGAAGTTTGCCTTCCCTTCCTCTCCTTTTTAGTGCTGTGGTTTCTGCCATTGGCCATGATTTCAGGGAACTGGCTGAGGCCACAGCTGTGCCAATGGGGCTTCCCTGGTGCTGCAGCACTTGTAAACCACACACACACAGCCTCTCTCCTTGGATGTACGTTAACACAGTGGCATACAGGACTGGTAGCCTGGCATGGTAGGTACTACCCAATGAAGATTGTACTATATATTTTCTTTACTATAGGCCATACTTATACAGACTTGTATATATATTTATATAAGATCTACCCATACTAGGATGGAATGTTGGGAAAAAATAGAATTTTAGGGGGGGGGGGAAATGTAACACTTCCAGTTGTGAGCCAAGATTGTAACCAGAGAGTAGCCAGGAGCTTCCTGTCAGTAACCATGTTTTCAATAAATACTCTTTCATGTACAAACTGTAGTTCCTATTAGCAGCTGTTTCTATGTACTTCGTCCCTGCCCAAGGGTGAAAAATTCACCTTGGCAAGCCATTTTCAGTGTGTCTGGGAGAGTGGAGAGCTCCAGCTGGAGCCCTTAGCCACCTTCCAAGAGTCTTCCTCCTCATCATTCACCCTCCCTCCGTCACACCCCCCTACACACAGACACACACCTGCTGGTTAAGGATGCTCACAGATTGCTGCACTGGGACAAAGTGTTTTCTGCTTGGCCCTGCTGGGTACAGCAGGGTACGGCATACTGTAAACCCCCATGAACATGTCCTCCCTCTTCTCCCTGCCAGGGACACAGCCAGGGAACAGCTAGAGTACTTGTGCCTTACAAAGAAGACACGGTCTTCACCCTGTGTGTTGCCTGTGCTTAGTGCCCAGCCTTCCAGCTGGTGTTTTAGGCTGTTGCTCCAAACCTTGGCCTTGGTAGCTAGGAGGCTTAAATGAGGGCGGTGGTGAAAATAGATACTTTCTCTTGCCTCTGAGAGAGAAGGGGGTAAAGACAAGCTCTTTCAAAAGGCATAGAAAGTGCATGCAATACAGGCCTCGAGGACTGAATAAAGCCAAGACCTTGGGCAGCGATGGGTACCATTGTAGGTGCTTGGGAAGCACTGAATGAACTAATGCCTGTATGATGCCAGCTGGCGGCAGTGACAGCAGCAGTTTGCACAAAGCACTGCTTACACTCTGGCCTTGAGCCTTCTGTTCAGAGGGGCCAGGAAGCCCAGCTGAATTTTTTGCAAGGATCCACGTTTGCAGGCCATCTTAGTGCCAGAGAGCCCAGGGGGAGGCTGGAGAAGGAAGGCAAACAGCACAAAACTGGGCCCGGATGTGCAACCCTAGCTTGCCCTTGCCTTATGGTCTCTTTGTCCATAAATGCTGCCCCTTTTAATCCATCCTGCAAGATGAAGAAAATCTGAACTCCCTAGCTGGCATTTTGGGGCCACTACAACCTGCCCCTTGACTACTTTAACCACAATCAATCTGGGCTCCAAGCAAGGCTGGATCTTTCTCACCCCCTCCGTTAGGATTCTTCTATTCCTCTACCTGAGGTGCTGTCCCCTTATTCATGCTATTGAAATTGGGATAATTCTTATAAAGTTTCAGGCATACAGAAAATATTTCATGAATATTTATTATTACTTCTGGATCTCTTAAGTCTTAAAGTTTAGTGCTTCTGACATCACTCTCCAGCTGGCTTGAGCTCCCAGAAGAAAAAGCCTATGAGATACTTATCTTCGTGGTTCCTTCCATGGTTGTCCAGCGCTGGACTGGGCATGAGAAAAACGATTCGTCCAGGAAAAAACAACAAGTGACCATTTTTTGGATGCAGAACGCTAGTAGGAACCAGAGCTCCAGAGCAAATCCCTGCTTGAGCAGAGGAGACACAATTACAAAACAGGACTGTGCTCAGCGCCAGCCGGGCTTCCTGGAGGAAGGGAGCCGCGCGAGGTCTCAGCGGAGACCTGGAGAAAGACCCGCCCCGGCCCGGCTCCGCCCCGCCCCGCCCCTCAGTAGCTTCCGGCGGAAGTTGCCTCCCCTCCCATGGCGTGGCGGCTGCGCCGGCCTCGCACTTCCGGCGGGAAAGTCCCTGCCTGGAGCGCCCCAGGTGGAGGTGAGTGGCCTCGCGGCTGGACTCCTGAGCATTCCCTGAGGCCGGGGGCGGGGGGTTGGTGGGGGCTGGAGCCGGGAAGCTGGGTCGCCACCAGGTCTCTGCGCTCTGCGTCGTGGGGCACGCCCGTGCGCCTGCCGCTCCCCAGGCCTGCGTCTCCCGGTCTGTGGGGGGACAGGGGTCTCCAAGCTCCCTCCTGCGGGGCGTGTGCCCCGCACCCGTTCGTCAGGTATTTACTGAGCACCTGCGACGCGCCGGGCCCTGGACCCCAGCGAGAATCTGACGCGGCCCTGCCCTCAGAGGCCGCATCCCGCGGTGGGGGTGGGTCGGGCAGTTAACACGTGAGCAAACAAGGAAACGTCACATGGTGGGAAGCGCCACGAGGATGGTGGGGGGGATAGTTTTCAGCCAAGCTAAGGTATGCGGAAGGATGCTGTAGGCCGAGAGAACAGCAAGTACAAAGGACACAGACTTGATGTGTTAGACAGATAGCGGGAGACCACCGTGGCAGGTGCTGGGGGCAGTGGTAGGCGAATGAGGTGGCAGAGATGGGCAGAGGCTAGATCGTGGGAGAACTTCCTTGTTGGGCTGTGTGGAGGAGTTGGGATTAGCCCTAAAAGGGCATGATGTGCTACTTTGTGTGTTTAAGCCATGTCTCTGGCTGCTTTGTGGATTCCAAGTTGTAGGGAGGAAAGGAAACAGGGAGACCAATTAGGAGACCAGTTGCAGTCAGTAGGTGAAAAGATTATTGTGACTCCGTCTGTGGTGGTGGGAGTGGAGGTGAAGGGAAGTAGATGGTTGAAGAAGTATATTGAAGGAGGAACTGATAGGGCAGGATATGAGGAATGAGGGAAAGATGGTGGTCAAAGATGACTTCATCACTGATTTTTGGGTTTGGCTTAAGTAACTGGCTGTATTTTGGTGATATTTAATAAATGGCTTTGGGTTGGGAGCATGAGGAATAATTAAAAAATCTTAGAACATTTTAAGTTTTAGATATTTTCAGTGGAGCTACCAAATAGGCTGTTAGATATACTAGTTTGGCACTCACAGAGAAGGTTAGGGCTGGTGTGAAGAATTTAGAAACTATTGGCAAGTTGATTCAGTGGGATGAGGTAAGAATTAAGGGTAAGAATTAAGACAGAGAAGAGAAACAAGGGTCCAGGCCTCAGGCACCCGGTTTTTAAAGGTTGAGTTGAAGAGGTGGTGACAGCTAAGACGACCAAGGAATCTAGAAAAGCAGAAGCCAGGAGAGCATGGTGTCGTGCATCTAAGAGAAGGTTGTTCCAAGATGAGGAAGTGGTCAGTTGTATAAGATGAGAACAGAAACCTGACTCTTAAAGGGTCAATGGGGAGGGTGTGGTAACTCATTGGAGCAGGGGAGGCAGGCTGAAGCAAGGACGGGAGGTGAGAGAGTGGGGCTGGCAGTGCAGGGCCCTCTGGGGTAGTTTCACTATCAGGGGACCAGGAGGGGAATAAGCCCCTACCTTGAGCCAACACTTAGTGCTCTACCTGACGCCTCTGACTACCCTTTCCAGGAGACAGATGATTTCATCTTTACAGTCAGACACACTGAATCCAAAGATCAGGTAACTTATGGCAGCGGCACAGTAGTAAGTGGAGGCACCAGGACTTGATCCCAGGTTTCTAACTCCAAAGTCCACACTTAAGCACTAAATTACACTGCCCATGTTACAGTTGAGACTGAGGGGAGCATGTGCTATAGCTATGCACCAGCCTTACCCATCATGCTGTTGCTCTCAGCTAAGCTGCTCCCTGGGGGAAAGTGAGGCAGAATGTGGAATTCTTTTCCTGGCCAAGTGAGATTTCAAAAAGACCATTTATTATTTAAGCCTGGTTTCCCTTATCATAAAATAAGGATGGGGACATTATCAGTTTCATGTCTGTACCTCCAGTGCTAGTCACACGGGGTGCTTAATAAATGCACATTGAGTACGTGGCTAAATGATTTCCAAGGGCCCTTCTGGCTGAGGTTTGGCTTTAATGTTTGTGAATAGCTGACCTTCTGAATGCTGATAAGAAAATGAGTTAACTTTGAAACAGTGCTCCTTGTGGCTAGGGCAGTCATGGGGACTTCATCGAGGTAGGGGACCTGGGCTAGGTCTGCGAAGGAAGGTCAGGAGTTGAACAGTGGAGGGGGGCATTGCAGCGTTGGAGCAGGAACCGCAGCAGAAAGCGCAGGAAGTTGATTCACAGAAGGGTGAACAGACTGCCCTAGCTTGGAAGCCACAGGAAGGACCCATGGGGGGAGAGTGCTAAGAAGAAAACTCTCTTAGTGCCAGCATGCCCTGTGATTACCTGTATAGGGTAGCAGTGGTTCTCAACAGGGAAGAGTTGGGATCCCCAGGTGACATTTGTCAATATCTGGAGACATTCTTGGTTGTCACAGCTTGGGGTGAGGGGATAGGATGCGGCAGGCATCTAGTACATGGAGGCCAGGGATGCTGCTAAACCTTACAGTGCACCGGGCAGATCTTCTGCCCCAAAACAATCATCTGGCCCCAAATATCAGTGACGCCAAGATTGAGGAGCCCTGGTGTAGAGGAAAGAATGTGGGTCTTGAGATCTGTGCCCATGTGCCCCGCTCTCTAGCTATGGGAACAGGAGTCTGACTGCGGGAGTTGCAGGAGAAGCAGAAAGATCCACGTAGGACACTACGCAGTCATTTGGGGAGAGGTTGGTGGCTCCACCATGATAGTAGTGGAGGTTGGGAGATGTGGTCGTATTTGGGCTACTTTTGAAGGTAGAGGTGACAGTGTTTGTTGAATGAATGTGGGCTGAGGGAAAGAGAGGAATCAAGGATGGAGAAGAGGTTTTTTTCCCTAAACAGCTAGGTGTGTGGGGGTGCCGTTTGCTGGAGTGGGAAGTGTGAAGAGGAGCAGGTTCAGATGGAGGGCAGGTGAGGAAAACAGGAGTCAGTTTCCAACACTCTGGGTGTGACATGCCTGATAGTAGACATCCATGGGAAGAGGTCAGGATGGCAGTTGGATATGCTTCTGGGGTTCATGAGGAATCAGCTGGGTATACAGTAGGGACACGTCAGCTTACAGAAGGCATCTCAAGGAGTGAGACTGCATTAGGTCAGGTAGGACAGTGACTTTCAACCCATTGGATTCAACACCCTCTTTTTATTACACATATTTTGTAGCAACTGCCTTTATTATCCTAAAATGACACTTAGAGGTCAGGTGATTCTGGTCTTTTGCCTAGGTAGTATCAAAGTCATGCAGGATGCATGATTCTTAGTCATATGGACTGCCCCTTCATTGTACCTGCTCACTAAATGGCAGGAGCATCCCCCAAAACACCACCATAGGTTTCCACAGCTCCTCTGAAGAGAAC